GTCCCCTCGAGGGTCCGACTGTGGACATAAAACACAGATTTTACTCAGCGAGGCCTCACAGACAGCACAAAGCTGTACTTGAAAGTTGCCACACAGAAGTTGGCTAGAAAGTAAATCAGTTGTAGGAAAAACATTAAAACTTTTCCCATGTCACTCTGAAATGCATTACATTTGTGTTTTTAACTTCCTGCCGTGTTAAACGATGTTTCAGTTCTTTTAAATGACATTTTATGTTGGTTTAAAAATACTTTTTGCGAAAAAAAGTGTTTTGTTTGAAGACAGCTAGCAGAGCTAATCAGAGAAACACAAGCTTTCTAGCATCATTTTTATAAACCAATATGATTACATGTCTTTACTGTGTATCAATCATCAGGTGACATTAGATTTAAAAAATGACGTGTGCCCATGCTTTACTATCATGGCCACAATATTATTATTATCAGCTATTTCCATGCAGACTGTTGATTGTTAACATGGACAAGTTTGAATAAATCACAGGATCAAATTACGACACACTTTAGTCACTTGTTGTTAGACTTTGAGTACATCTTAGAGGCACTGAATTCAGCTACTCAAAATTATCACGTGGCCACACATTAGTTCAGACGGGCTCCACAGATGTCCACTCTTGATGATGGCCTTTAAAAAATGATAAAAAAAAGTTTTATGAGGGGGATAGTCTAACTAACCTTCCCTTTCAGGTATAATTTTTATTATATGAAGTAGTCCATACTTTTATCCATCCATCCATCCATCCATTTTCTGTACACGCTTCTTCCTTTTCAGGGTTGCGTGGGTCACTGGTGCCCATATCCAGCAGTCACAGTGCGAGGGGCGGGGTACACCCTGGACAGGTCACAAGTCCACATACTTTTATGATGACTTCAAATTATTTTTGATGGAAATAAATTGTCCAGTCTTACCAAAGCTATAGTACATAAAGATAATTTACACAACCTTGCATTGAAGTTTTCTTTAAATCAGCAAATGTTTAATTTAATGCGTTTGTCATACTTTGTAGAAGACGACCCGCTAAAGGTTTTCTGGTTTCAACGTGGGCGCCACTCCCACATTGATTTTACAACACCTGGCATTTGTGGACTCCCATCCAGGTAGTAACTAGGCCCAACCCTGCTTAGCTCCCAAAAACAGATGAGACCCAGCATGTTCATGGTGGCATCGTCTTTTTTAGCTGCTTTTTCCTTTGAGGGTCATTGGTGCCCATATCCTGCAGTCACAGTGCAAGAGGTGGAGTCCATCGCAGGAACACACAGAGACAAATATTCACACCTAGGAACAATTTAGAGTTACTAATGAACCTAACAGTCATGTTTTTGGTCTGTGGGATTAAAACTAGAGTGTCCAAGAGAAAACCCATGCATGCACAGAACGAATAAGTAAGTAATAAATAGTGCTTTCTATTTCCCACTATCAAAGGTTGCACCATTTACATTATAAGGACAACTATCCACCAAATGTGTTTATTTTCCTGCTCATGTTAATTAATGAAGGCAGAAAAAATAATTTTATATATAAAAAAAAAACTGTTTCCTTTTAGTTAGTCTGAACTCATCGCCAGCAGATCATTAAACATTAATTATGTTAGCCTGATTTGTACTGTAGTTTGGACAATGTTCTGATGGTATCTGATTTCAATGGCAGTGCACAGATGGTAAATAATTCAAGAAAAACAAAAAGCAAAAGGTCAGACTTGTTTTATCTCACCGACAACTGGAAGCAGTTAAGAGAAACATGCAAACTGGACGGCTTCGTACCCATTTCTGTGATCACCAGCCGTGCGTTAGCTTTGATCACCAGCTGGCTCGCTCCTGTCTGAACACAGGCTAATGTCTTTTAATGGGCGCATAAAGCACAACGGCCGTGTGTTTTAAGAGTCTTTGTAAAAACCACAGAGCCAAGGCTTTAGTGTCAGGCTGCCTTGTGGCTCTTAAGAGCTATATTACATTGATCGCAGCTCAAATGCAGAGCACTACTGAAGAGGATGGAAGCCACCTCTCTGCAGAGAAGACGAGACGAGACAGAACATTCAGTTATTGATTATCCAGTTGGGGAATACCACGCTGAAAGCTGGCAGCACGAGCGAGCTGACCTTTCTGTGCCAAATATAAAACACTCCCCACACTGCTTCTTTAAAATGTTTTTGCTGCACCAGAAGTGCTGTTCCCACTTCTGAAATCAGCGTGGCACAGGGGAGAAATACAGCTTTAATACCCAGGGGCTGAGGGATTTCCTATTTGCCTCATTTCTAATAGCTGTATCCCACAGAGGCCCTGAGGGCATTAGGCCAGTCACTCAGAGGTTCACGGCCTGCAGCGGCAGCATTTTCTGCAAAGGCATGCTCTCTAGCTTCAGTGTGGCAGAGGAAAAGAATGGCTCACTTTTGCATAAAAGCCTCAATGAGACTTAAGGTGTGTGGGAGTTTTAAAAAAAAAATGTAGACCCCTGGGGATTTAAAGAGACATAATTATCAGAGAGAAAAAGAGTGGAAATGTTTCATTTCCTGTTCCAACTGAAGCACTACCAACATTTCTACCAGTGCCATGGTAGAAATGTCAGCCAAGGAGCTGCTAATTCTGTTTTTTTTTTTATTAAACATGAATGATTTTTGATTCATGTGTCTTCACCATTCAGCACCATCCATAGATCAAATGTGCTGCTTGTTCAAAATAAAAAATTATCAACAGAGGAACATGAAAAAAAAAACGAAGATGGGTAATTTCAGCAATATGGTCATATCTACAACTTTCTTTATTCTTATGCAATCTAAAGATAGTATAAAAATATTAGTTTAAAAAACAACAACAACACTGAAGATTTGTATCTATATCTCTTTATTTGTTGTATCTTTGTGTTAGTGCGGTTAAACTCCCTGCTATGTGTAATGTTGGGAAAAAGCATCAATTATGGGTGTAAAATGTTTTTATTATTTATTTATTTTGCCTGTGGGCATTTTACACCAGCACCCACCAACCCCTCAACACCTCAGCTGCTTCGCCTCTTAACATGTTTGTTTTCTACAGCTACACATCACAGGTGACACCAGCGTACTTCCACTGATGTCATTCAGAAAAGCAATGTCTCTAGAAAGGTGTAGATCAACCAATATTAACCTGCTTATTACTGTCCTCAATCATTCTATCCAAGAGGTTATGTTTTCGTAAGTGTTGGTTTGTTTGTTTGTTCACCCGTGTACAAGATTACATTAAAAATTTTGAACGGATTTTCATGAAATTTGTGGGGCTTGGTGGGGTTGCCACAAAGAACAACTCTTTAAATTTTGGTGATGATTTGGCAACATCTGCCAGAGCCAATCAGCTTCCAGCAGAACGTTGTTCCACCAATCACAGATCAGCTGCACGTTTCTAATGCTACTTAGTAGCCACGCATCCTGTGGCGACAATCTCTGCTCCCCGTCCAGAAGTAGCCAAACTGTTGGCAGCAGTGGGGACCAGCGGAAATGGCAGATTTTGTATCGGCCACTCATTTTACCAGCCGCTATATTTTTTTATTTTGTGTGTGTGTAACATTGTGACATTTAGATGATTTGTGGTTCTTGATGGACTCTCATTTCCTCTTTAGAAATGTTTTTGCTATCTGCTGCCCGCTTAACTCCAGAAACGTACGCCACTTTGCTACTTCCTGTTCAAATGTTCTCCTTCATCTGATAATGGCATTTACAGCAGACTAGCAGTACCTCAGGAGCAATGCTGCCCCCGACAGGTTAGAAGTACAAACTGAACGCAGTTTTTCTGTTTGAACTGAAAACCTGCCACTGTGGCTTGTGCGTTGTTCAAATTTACACGTCATACATTTACCCTCATTTGGCCGGTGCTAATTTTCACCCTTGGGTGGGGAGCTGGGGTCAAACATAGTGGACTGTCCTCCTTGGAAATCAGTAGAGGAAACCCTGTGGTTCTGGTGGAGGTGTGTGCCCTCCGAGTTCTTATGGTTTCATATTTAAAGTTAATATCTGAGGAAAATACAGTAACGAGAAGCTGCAGCCGGTAAATGTGGGCTTTTCTTTGTCCTAAAGCTTAAATAACATTACTGTTTTCATTTCAGTTTAGCTCATTTTTAGCAAGATATTTTTGTGTAGGCTGTTGTTCAGGTCAAACCTACGGAGCAAGGGGACGGGAGATTGTTTTTTGCATTCCCACGCAATAGTATTGCTTTACCTCGCAATACCTTTTGCGTTCCCTCGCAAAAGTCGTTTATCACTGTTGTGCGTGCAGGTTTATGTTCACCAATAGCGAGTTAGCCTACTGCTTTAATTCAGATTCAGAATGAATAAATATATTACACAGCCACGCATGGAAGTATGTCATATGCCAATATTTTAACACAGTGCAGCCACGTAACATCAATGTCAATTTCACAAACTTGTGGCGACACATCCTGTTTTGGTAACCGAATATTTCAAAATAAAAGTCTGATTTAATTAAGTTCATACACAAAACAAACTTTTGCGTGGGAACGCAAAACAATTTTGCGAGGGAATGCAAATGTTTGCGTGGTAACAAAAAGTTTTGCGAGGTAACGCTAAAGTATTGCGAGGTAACACAAAGATATTGCAAGGTAACGCAAAAGATATCGCAAGGTAACGCAAAAGATATCGCAAGGTAATGCAAAAGATATCGCAAGGTAACGCAAAAGATATCGCAAGGTNGCAAAAGATATCGCAAGGTAACGCAAAAGATATCGCAAGGTAACGCAAAAGATATTAAGAGGTAAGGTATTGCATGGGAGTGCAAAACAAAAAAACAAATTCCCCCATGTCCCCTCGCGGGCTCTGTACAATCCAGACACACATTTGTTCATTGTGTTGGATAATTTGAATGCCATAAAGACAGAAACAAACAACCACACTTCTTTCCCCACAACTGTTCTGCGATTCCCCTAATTATTACAAACTAGGTCTCAGAAGTTTTGAATGCCTGAATTTTCACTTGGAAAAATATAAATAAAGTCTTGACAACTGGTAGTTTTCTGCTCATATTTGAAGGTTTGCTTATTTCCTGTTCTGCTTCTCAAAACTAAAATCCTCTTTTTAAAGAGTTTTTCAACATTCACTGAACACAATCAATGCAAAAAAAAAAAAAAACGTTTTTCCAATGCTTTCTCATTAATTTTCATAACTCCCTACAAACAAGCAAAAGTCCTGTTTAAAACCCTTTAGCGGTCTAAAACAACAAAATCAACAACAATAACTAAACTTATTCTCATCTTCCCTTTGCTCCTTCACCAACTTCCTTGTTGCCTTCTTTCTGTAAACCTTTCGGTCAGGGTGCTTTAACAGAAGCTGAAACTTTTCCCCAAACATCACCTTCCCATGATGCTCTGTGAAATCTGCAATGTCCATAATAAAAGTACCACAGTGAAACATTATACAAAATAAGGACCTGATGTCGACGACTAGCAAAAATAAATCATGTTTTCTCATTAGCTTCGACGTCTACACTAAATTACAGGTGACTTCAAAAGTGCAAGTATCGCTACATGTACTCTGGTCAACATTCTAGTCCCTAAAAAGTAAATTACATCTGGAATTTCATTACAAAAATACTAAACCTATGGATTGGCTAATAATTTAAACAGCATATTTTAGTAACGTGCACACAGTGAATGGAACAATTTAGTTTCCTGGAATTGATGTCCTGTGCAAACATACGAGGGTCTGACAGCATCTACTGGTTCAAAGTGGACTGAGGAACATGGAGAGCGTCTCCAAAAGGAGCATCAATTCATCCGACTAACTTTGCTGAGTGACCTCCTGGCCGCTCTCCAGAAGTTCATCCTCAGAAAAACTGATGTGAAGGCAGGTATCGTTCACCGGAGAGGAGAGGGGGTGACCACAGGCGTCTGAAGTCAGGGGGCTGGGTTCGGCGGGTGACGACTCAGAGAACGCGAGAACCACTCCAGCACTGCGCTCCAAGGGGCTGCCGCAGCTGCTAGACGCCGTTAAAAATGCAGCACGGTCCCCAAACAGGTCGTCGTCATCGCACAGGGGCGACAGCAGGGACTTGGTCTCGGAGCGGACGCCCGAGTCCTCGCTGGCCGAGGAGGAGCTGCTCTCCCCGTTGCTCAGGGAGTGGAAGTCAGCAGAGGACAGGGAGCTGGGGGTGATGTCGGGGAAGGAGAGGCTGCTGCTGCGACTCGGGGCTGCTTTGATCGTGCCGACCTCTGCAGGCGGCGGCACGGCTGGGACCTCCGACCCCGGAGAGAACGTCCTGCTGGCCCTCTTGCGGTTCAAAGATGGTGGAGGAGGGTCAAGTTTGGGTATTATTTGTTTACACCTGCCAGCACCAAAAAAAGAGAAGAAACTTCTGTTAGTGATTTTTATTAGCTAACATTAAAACATTACTGTAAAGACTTGACGAATTGATGTCACAGCTCAAACATTTCTTCAAAGTTAAAACCAGCACGGTTTCTTTTGTGTGTGTTGATCTGCTGTTCCCTTCATCTGGGTTCGGATGTCTTAATGTGAGCAAATTCAAATAAAGACTTGGTAATATCTTTTACAACAGACGCCCTTCCTGACATAACCACAGACCGCCGAGCTACCACAGCTCACGTGTACGGAGCAGGGGGCTGCCAGATGGAGGGGAGGAGCAGATGGTGGCTGGGTGTGGGGGGTTAAGGAACTTGCTCAAGGGTCCAGAGTGGAGCAAATGAGGGTGAAAGAAGATGTAAGTAAGTAAGATGTAAGTGGTTTGACTGGCCCACCCAATTTTGATGTAGCGCTACAGCAGAGGTGTCCAAAGTCGGTCCTCAAGGGTCGGTGTCCTGCATGTTTTAGGTGCTGCCCTGGTTCAACACAGCTGAACCTAAGGAGACCTCTGCAGACCTTGATGACAAACAGAGAAGGTAAATCATCTATTTGAATCAGCTGTGTTGAAGCAGGGACAAATCTAAAACTTGCAGGAGACCGGCCCTTGAGGACTGGCTGCACTACGGAGATTTGAACTTGTGGCCTTCTGACCACATAGCTAAAAAAAAAGGGTAACCACAAAAATAACTGCTAAACTATGTAAATATTTTATGTTTTTAAAACAATATAGGTCAGATGTTCATCAGGCATTTAATTCATCACGCCCTGCGTTCCACTCCACGCCTCTTTTGGTTCCATGATACTCGCTTCATATCTGAAAGCTCACATCAGTGCAGGACGAGACCAGCTCCACCTGGGATTTATGAACGCCCAGAGAACGCAGAAGGACGAACCAGTCGTGCAGACGACTCATGAAACTGTTTTATGAAAGAGCTGACTGATAATAGTATAAATAAAACAAGTATAATTATATACAGCCATTAGAAAGTAGATATAAGCAATATAGCAGTAATATTCACTTTTATTTACTTGTTTTATTACTGTCTGCAATAATCTGTGACAAATAAATCTCTAAAGATTTTTACTCTGTCTTGTCATTTGTCTTTTTTTAGCTTTGACATGATCAAATTTTCATTGAAACTGTTATTTATTCAAACACATAAATTACACAGATTTTTGCTAAGCAATAAAATGACAGCACCTAACCACAGAGGTAATGATGGCTGAGACTGGATGAGGAAGTTGACCTTTAAGAAGATCAGGGTGTTTTAAATAATGTCAAGGTTTGATTTGAACTTTACATTTATTTACAAGTCAAAACTCTTGAAAGAAAAATGAATTTAGCTAAAATAATCTCAAAATATTATCCTTTCAAAACAACAACCCTACTCTAATGGACAACGGTTCTTATAATAATCCAACTGGCCGACCGTAATAGATACGGTTTAGGCCTCTTTATTTTACCAATTCCCACCCAGCATCATTTCCCTACCATTAGGCTGTATAATATTAAAGCCTCCAGCCAGTTTCACAGTTTATGAGCCACATTTTACCTCATTAATCTGAGAGCATAAAACACGAGCTGCTACTACACAAGACATTGACTCTTCCTCTGGCTCCCTGTTGTTCTGGCTGTCAAAGGAACTTATCTACATCCCGCAGTTCCCCTGTTGTGAAAACAGAGGGACAGGGGTGGAACAAAAGCCAAAGCCTGCAGGATGGAGGTTAGAAAAAGAGGAGAGAGAGAGAGAGAGAGCGCTGGAGAGAGCTGCAGGCTTTGCTACGAGGCAGAAATGGTAAAACTGCAGTTATCGCTACAATAAAGCTTTGACAAGCACCAGTGTGTCCACACACAGTTACAACCGCTCTCTTTGGAAAAAAATGACTCAGATAACAAGCCCTGCTTCCTCTTCGATGCCTCCAGGTCACCAGCTAGGTAAAAGCTGCTAACTTCATTCCCCTGAGAGATCCGGTGTGGTTCAGTCCTTTTCTGGGCGATGAAGTTATGTGATTTGCTAATGTTCTCTCTGTCTGCTTTGGACAGCTGGAGTAATGACAGATGTTTAGAGGTGGAGAAAACCTCTTTAGAGCTAATTTTGTAGTAGCCTAAACTAAGAAATGGAGCAGGAAACAAAAGAGATATTTCAAACTGGACTCTACTGACTCCGTCTGCGACACACTCAGTTTTTATTTGACATTTCTCAAAGTGAGACTCAGAGGAATGTAAAATGACTAATTTAGTGGTGTCCTCAGTAGCCACTGCATATTTTTGTTGTTTTCCTGATATTTAGCAGGTCTTCATGTTCTACAGGATTAGGATCATTTATTGGTCAAATTGCCTGGAAAGCTGTTCATAAACCAAGCATACTCCCAATGAAGTGAAGTACTGGCTTCTGGTGCAGCCTCTGGGGTAAATAACATCTTTGTGGCTCATAAAAGCAATTACAAATACGGTGGTTTAATTCATTGTTCTGCTTTTTTTAAATCATGGACAAGACAGCAGCTGAACTACATATTAGACTGCCTTCCTCTGGCCCACTCTTCATTACAAGCATGAATTGGCATTTGTCCTGTAAAAATAACACCTCACTCTGCCTCACTAATGTATCTGCTTCTGCAGAGTTTTCTTCCTTTCATTATGCTGCCTCTCTTTGTGTCTGTGTGTATCCACATAACCGGCACCTTCACCAGCCTTTTCTTTTCGCAATAGTTTGAAAAGAATAAATAAAAATAAACTGCTGAAAATGCAGCTCCTCAGCTTGTAGTTTGCAGGTCTAACATATTTATGTTATTTTTTTAATAACATGATTTATGCAAAATCAAATGGAGATCTATTTATCACGTCAAAAATTACTGCTTTTTTGTTAAAACGTTCTTAAAATGTGACTGGAATTATAAAGAAATGACTATAAAAGCAACCAAGTAAAAAATAAATGTTAATATTCACTTAGTTTTACTGTTATTAGCTATTTTTCACAATGACGGGTGATCTGACGTTTGTCAGAGGTGAACCTATTGCCCCCACCTTTCATGTTAACTTTCACCCACAACCTGCATGACTTCTGTAGCAATAACGAGACACCTGTACAACAACAGGGGAAAACCAACTCTCCAACTTAACTGTTTCGAGATGTCGCCCTGCATGGTCAACAATATCACCCAGATCAAAGACTTCTACTGACTCCAGCATAGACTGACAGCCAACAGATCGAGCAATATTTATTGTTCAAAATTTTGATATTGAATGTTGAAGCAGTTGTTGTCTGTTTGTTATCAAAATGTTTCGTGAACAGCTGGATGGACTCTTTTTTTTTAAATACTTGATGTACCCCACACAGCAGAAAGATGTGAGCCAGATCTGGTGTCAAGCTGGCACTGCTGGCATGGCAAGTGGTTTGCCTATTAGATGTGGGCCAGGTCTGGCAAAGATGGCATTGTTTTAATGAAGGAATGCCACAACTGGCCCAGTTATGGTTTGGTTTATGTGGTGCTGGCCCATGCATTGACCACCTTCTTATTTTTTATTTATTTTATCATTATTTAACCAGGAAAATCCCAATGAGATCACAGATCCCTTTTGCAAGGGCAGCCTGGGCCTGAAGGCAACCTATTGTAGATATTTTGTACATACCTCTGGAAAACATGGGCCACCGAAGGGCCGTCATTCTTTGTGGTATCTGGGCAGAGTGTTAGTCTATTGCAGTGATTCCCAACTAGGGGTATGCAAGCATATTATAGGAGTACATGGAAAAATTTCCCAACTGAGTAAAAAATAAATAAAAATAGGACTGAGATACGTAGGGCCCTATATTTCAGCAATGTGGAAAATGTAGACGTAATTACGGAATTAAAGGCACAGTGTGTAGGATTTGTTGTTTTCAGCGACATCTAGTGGTTGAGTGGTTGAATCATCCTCCCTGGTCCTCCCCCCACCCCCACCCCCACTTCCAAACACAAAGGAGTTGCTACAGTGTCTCTCAGGGGTCAAAAACCTTTGATAATTCCAACCGCGATGTCTACCAGCAGCTTCAGGGCTAGTGATGTTTCAAGTGGTAAGATTATATTACGATTGAGCTTGGTTGATTAGAACCCCAAGATGTGATTTATTAAAACAAAAACAAAGGGGCTGACGTGGCAGCAAACAAGAACAAGGGATATGGGCAGGAACATGAACATCAAACAGAGAACAAATCTGACAAAGACTGAGGACAAAGAACAGAATATAAAGGAAGAACTAATGAGGTAAAACAAGAAACACCTGGGGAAGAAACATGAGGATCAGGTGTGAGTGGGCGGGGCTAGAGCAAAGGCAGACAGGAGGAAGAGAACAGGAGGAAAAGACAGAAAACTTAGACTAAATCATAAGCACTGACACAAATCATGACAGATTATGAGCTTTAATAAGTAAAATTATCCCAGCTACAATGACAGACAACAAATATTACATTTATAGTATTACAACTAAAACCGTTTTTGACGCCGCCACCACAGTTTGTCCTTCATGAGCTTTCGTAGACAAGATGGCGGTGCAAGATGGCAGCTGCCTGTGTGGCGACCCGTGGCCATGAAGATATAAACAGCTTTTTATAAGGTAAAAATAATAAAACAAGGTCTTTGTCTGCAATGATTAGACATGTTTTTTTTAATTATTGTCATTAGTGATTATCTCAATTTCGGCTAAAAGAATTGACAAAATCCTACAGACTGTGCCTTTAACACAAAATTGAATCTAGTATAAAATGTGGAATCTCACAGAATTTGTTCATTTGGGCGAGTTTCTGATGTATTTTGGATGCTGCTGCTTCCTGCACCTGACATTACCTGGTTTATTTATGTAATTACTTATTCACTTTTAGGGCAACATTTTTATCTTTATGTTGAATTTGAGTTGAAAAAATTAAATGCCTGAGAATGAAACATTCTAGGGGGTTAAATAAATAATTTTCATTTAATAATCAGGTGTTG